CCTCTCCCCCCTCCCCGTCCCGTATTGAACCATAAATAAATCTGGTCACCCTACCTATGAATAATGTAAACTTTTATCAGCAGGTTTCGTAGACGTGCGAGTTCTGGCATCGTTTCTTTCAGGTGGTGTAGTTGGTTATAGACGTTATTTGTAATTTGAGTCACATAATTATTATAAGTAGCCGTTCTTTGTGGTGGGATCAACTTGAAATCTTCCTTGATGCATTGTATGAGTAAAACAAAGCAGAAGGGAATACATTTGTCATATAAAGATTGGTTTAACCTCTTGGTCCTGTGTCTTGGACTGTCCAAAATTCTGAATTTCAGAGTATAAGCTCCCGAAACATACAGCACACAGTCCTCTGCTAATTATACACAACTTCTAGTGACGGTAGCCACACCAGCGCTAGGCATTTGACTGGCGTTGTCCACCTCCTCAGCTGTCAGCCGTGATCTCACCAGCTGTACGGGGAGGAAACGCACAACCGACCATTATTAGACGGCTCCTTCTGCGCCGATGTGATTGACACAGACACACCTCGCAGTTACTGTGGTGACAGGTGCTCAGAGTGACACGGCACCGTGATTAACACTTTTGCTAAAATGTCAGTTATTCCCCTAAACATGTAATTGAGTGATTCTCAAAATACATCGCAAATGTACAATTTTGGCCCACTTGGCAGGTGTTTTATGTTTGTGTGTTGTTTTTTTGTGAATGGAAAGTAGTTGGAACTTTTCACAGTTGGGTGAACCATTATTTTTAAGGCATTACAGGCACAAACCTTTGCTTTTAGTAGTGAGTACTACTTGATATGTAAGATAAACTATTATTTAATGTCAAATTAACCTGGTAGCTAGTTTAACATGTCAGATGCGTATTTTACCCTAGAAATGGTGAATTTTGGTCTGTCTCACCAGAAGTCTTTATCTTCTTGATTATCCAGTAATTTAAATCATACAGCGTCACAATTCTGGCATAATTTTGTCCGTCAAACATTTAACCGTGTTACCAAGGTTATTGTAAATATATATATATATATATATATATATATATATATATATAATGAATCTAATACTTCATTTTATTTAGAAATTTATTAATTTGAAGTATTGTACTGTTCAAAAGTTTGGGATCAGTATGATTTTTATTTTATTTTATTGTAATTAATTTTTTAAAACATTAAAGGGATAGTTCACCCAAAAATTTAAATGCTGTCATTAATTACTCACCCTCATGTCGTTTCAAACCCGTAAGACCTTTGTTCATCTTCGGAACACAAATTAAGATATTTTTGATGGAATCTGAGAGCTGTCTCATCCTGCATAGACAGCAACGCAACTGAAATGTTCTCAAGTCCAGAAACGTAGCAAGGAGATCGGTATATGCATACGCTGTTTACGTTCAGTTGATATTCTCCAAAATGGCGCTACAGGGTGACGCGGAGGAGACGAATTGTTGAATAAAGTCGTAATTCTTTTTTTCTCTTGCACAAAAAAAGTATTCTCGTTGCTTTGTATAATTGCGGTTGCACCACTGATGTCACATGGATTATTTAACAGATCTCCTTGCTACGTTTCTGGACTTGGGAACATTTCAGTAGTGTTGCTGTCTATGGAGGGTCAGATGGCTCCCAGATTCCATCAAAAATATCTTAATTTGTGTTCCGAAGATGAACGAAGGTCTTACGGGTTTCAAACGACATGAGGGTAAGTAATTAATGACAGAATTTTCATTTTTTGGGTGAACTATCCCTTTAATACTTTAATTAATCAAGACAGTAAAGAGACATTAAAAATATTTATAATGTTACCAAAGAGTTTTATTTCAAATAAATGCTTTTGAACTTTCTATTCATCAAAGTATCCTGGGAAAAAAGAAAAAAAGAAAAGAAAAGTTTGCATAAAAAGCAAAGCAGCACAAATGTTATAAAATAAAATGGTTCTCAAATCATCATATTAGAATGATTTCTGAAGGATCATGTGACAATGAAGACTGAAATAATATATTATTATTAATAAATCATAATATTTCAAGGTATTAATGTTTATGTAGTCCTTTTAATAAAGTTCATCCTTGGTGAACATAAAATTATTGTTTTCAAAAACATTAAAACAATCTTACAGATTGACTTTATTTTAAAAATAAAAAACATATAAATACATTAAAAATAATAACAAAAACACAAAGTTTATATTTTTATTTTTTATATTTCTTCAAACTTGGCTCAGCCAATCAGAATCAAGGACTAGGAACTATCAGTTTTATAATATTTTAATTTACATCCTGAGGTTGACAAGCAACGTTTTTTGAAGTAAAGCACTTTTGTTGGCGACCATTTGTTAAAAAAAACATTTCATGGCCCTATTTGTGGAAAGTGCCAGTGGAGTGTGTTTTCTTGAACTGTTACTCAGCAATGGTGTGTGAAAAGCTGCCCAGCCCTGAGATCTCGGCGGAGAGAGTGGAAAAGCTGATGAGTGTAGGAGCGCGCAGGTTCGACTCTCTGCCCGAGCAAACGCAGGAGCTAAAAAAGGGTGAGCTACAGCAGAGAACCTGTAAGCAGAGGATGTGATTCACACAGCGTTTCCTGCTGCCAGACTCCATCTGTGAATACAACGTTTTGAAAACTCACACGTTTTGCACGCATGTGCTTTTTTCTCATGAAAACGGCGCCCTCAGATCTTTTCTAGCACTTTCTGCCCATTGGAAGCTTTCTAGGTCTGCAGCACCTGTCCACTCACTGCTCTATGAACTGTGTTTGGATTCAATAGCTCCACATTTGCCATGTGGCTTTTTTAAAGCTGGAAAAAAATAAAAATATACATACATAAATAAATAAATATATATATATATATATATAATGGTTTAGGATTTACTTAGAAAGATGAAAAATTTATTTTATTGTAAAACAGTAATATTTCACAACTTTGAAAAATAATATTTTACAATTTATAATGGGAGCCTATTGTTATGTTCTTCTTCTTCTTTGAAGGCAGTATTTCACCAAGAAATTAAAAAGCGGTATGACCAAAGACATTTTAAGATTCACAGTATACCACATTATTTTTCCTTTGCATGTCTGGACATTTATATAGGTTTATAGTACAAGTTTTATATAAAAAAATGATAATGCCAAATACAGATTTACTATAAAAAATTTTGGTAATCAAATTAATTTATAAAACTAACGATTTAGTTAGTATTATAAAATGCAATTAAATCAACATTTCATTTTTTGTTGTTGTTGGCAAAGTGCTTCAGGTTGTGATACTCCTTAAAAAAATAATGTTTTAATAAATTGTATTATTATTATTTCTTTAAGTACATGTATTTCTGTTGTTATTATTCAAGTTAGATCAAACTTTTTTTTCATATTTATTTTAATATTTTGCCAGGTTATAGTGCATACCTATGCGTTTCCGTGTTTTTAATAAATTATTATTATTATTATTATTATTATTGTAAAAAGTACATTCTACTGTACAACATTTGTTATAATTTCTTCACCAAACTTTTATTTATTAGATTTATTCATCAAATATTGCTAAATTGACTTCCTGTTTTATACAGTAAATTCCATTTTTGACTGGATTTTGTGATTTTGTTTGCATTTTCTGCATTGCAGAAATCACAGGGCCCTGCTTGGCATTTGCCATGTTGAAGAGTAAGTTGTGTGGGTTATTAACTGTAAAAGTTATAACCATTAGTAAGAAGGGTACGCAGTTAATAATGTTTCCTCTCATTACAGTCTATACAGTGCTCTTCAGCTACACGATATTTGAAAAATACATATCGTATGAGAAATTGAAGTTTCTGCTCTAAATATTGTAGATATGCCGTGAAGAGCATGTTATTCTCAAGTTCTTCAGAAAACCATCTTTGTGTTTCTCCTTCAAAGGCCCCAGAAATCAGTATGCTGTTCTGAAGAACCCTTAATAAAACATCAAGAAGGTTTTTTAATCTACAGAGGACCATATAGCTGCTCAAGAACCCTGTAGAGCCAAAAGTGGGTTCTTGATACGCAGGTTCTTTGTGCAGTCTAAAGTTCATTGAAGAACCTGTAGTTGATTAAACACCGTTTGCAGCCGTCTGTGGTAAAAGTTGCTAGGGGGCTTTTGTTTCTCCAGCTTTCACACAGTTCCGACCAGAGTTTGTGTAATAGCAGGATGATTTTAATTTCGTGTGGCCTCAGGCTGAGGTTTCTTTGAGCTCGTGCATTAAAAAGTCAAGCGCTCCTCAATTCTGGCTTAGGGTTTGTAATATCATGCTTTAAAGTCGTTTCTGATGGCGCTTAGGTGTGAAATTTGCTTGATTTCGTATTCATATGAAAAGACCACACCGTGTCCCATCCGTATTGTGTTCAAAGTCCGAATTGTACAATTACACTGGTGTTGCTGGCATTAAATAAGACTTCTTTAATCTGTTTGCTCTGTGTGTTTGTCCCCTGCAGCATTTCTAGATTGTTCGGCTGATGAGACGGCGCCGGTAATCGTCTTTGTGTCAAAGATGTTTGCTGTGGACTCCAAAGCTCTGCCACAGAACAAACAGAGGTATTGAACTTGCAGATGTGTGTCTTCATGTCTTATTTTAAGCAAATGTCTGTTTCCTATGTTGCGTGCTGTTTATTTTCAGATCAAAATTAGTTATAGAGTAATAGAAACATGGCCTGATTTGATACAGGGTTATTATAGTTAACCATTTCTATTCCATCTACTTGTTTTCTTTATATTTATTATAAAAAATAACCCTCTAACACTTGAGTTCTCTATATGTTTTCTGTTCTGTTCTGTTTACTTGTTTTCTTTTTATTTATTATATATATATATAAAATAAAACCTTGCTATTTATACCCTAAGCGGGACTTGTCACAGCACTTACATATCATTGCTCTGTTGTTGGTTTGATTGCTTCTGTTGTCGCTTTGGATAAAAGCATCTGCTAAATGATTAAATGTAAATGTAAATTATAGTTAACTAAAACTGAATCTAAAACTAAAATCAAAACCGTAAAAAAAAACATTTTCGTTACTTGAAATTTAATAAATGTTAACTGACTTATAATATTTAAAAAAGCTTCATTTCAGTTAGTTGTCAAGGCAAAATTTCCCATTTTAATTAAAAACTAAAACTGAAATACGAAAAAAAAGCTATATATAAGTTTATATATATATATATAAACTACTAGAAATTACAAAAACAACTAAATTACTAAAACTAAAATTAAAATGAAAACAAAAGCCATTCAAAATATTAATAAAAACTATAATAGTGTCTCAGTGATACTTAAATAACACTCTTTTATTATTATTATTATTATTATTATTATTATTATCATTATTATTATTTTTTTTATGCAATATATACAATTCTCCAACTTTCTCAAACTGGGGTTTATAAGGCAACGGCAGAGGGTTCGTTAAATAATAAAAACGTAAAATTTATTACAAAATAATTTAAAATAAAAAATACTAAAAAGACTTACTAAAAAGATATTAAATAAGTATTTTATTTGTTACCGTGCATGCCGTTTCACCATTAACGTGAATGTGTTGTTCATTATTGTATTAATATCTTAAAATCTCAAAAGGCAACTTTGATTAAATATTTTAGGTTAAAGGTGTTCAGCTGGCAAAACATTTTGCAATCCCTGCCCTACAGAAACAGGACATCATGGTGAACCACTTATCTCTTCAATGAACTTAAAAACATACAATATGAATGGTAAGAAAGTTTAGTTGGTTTTTTGGTACTAACAATTGTTGGACATATGTTTCGGAGAAAAGAAAATGTTGATTTAATGTATTTCACATTTTATAAAATATAATTCATTTAAAGATGTTTTGTTATTATTTTGAATATACTGTATATTTCTAGCATAGCACTTATGAAAAACTCTATCTTGTAAAACACTATTTACATAACTATTATAAAGTTGTTCAGAAGTTCTTTAACTTTTTGCTATACCAGCTAATGGCATGTGAAAATGTACCAGCCATAAATATATATTACAAAACATAAAAAGGTATCTTTATTAATACTAAGCCTGACGAATTCAAATTTCTAATACTTTGCAAACATAGTCTGCCGTTTAAGCTCAAAAATGAGTGCACAGGATCTGTATTCTTTCTAGTTTACATAATTTTTCTTAGAAAAGCTTCCCCCCCCCCCCTTATGACAATAGAATTATTAAGCATTTTATCCTGGATATGTGTGGCACATGCTCTTGAAGGTTGTTTTGTCGTACAGCATCACATACAAAATGAGCCTCTCTTGTCGCATAAATATGAAGACACATTATGATTTTGTTTTTAATTTTTTTGTTTTAGTGGCCTAATGTGAGGAACATTCCACATGGTGTTCTGGAGAAAACAGCCTTTAGGCATGATAGATAAACGTCTGATGGTAAAGCTTCCACTGAGGAAAGAGTCCAGGCAGATGTTTTCTTTTGTAGATGGTTTATAGGACTTTGATTTGAGTCGCTCACATAATTTACATCAGTGAAGATTAGACTGTCATTCCGACTCAAACCATGTGCAACTATGTTGCAATTCCTAAAATGTTTTATTTACTTGCATTTGCCCTTGGTGGGTGTTCATTTTGGATCCTGGCTGTACCACCCTGCAAAGGCAAAGTGCAGTAACTACACACATTGATCAAATCAAATGTCTTAGACTGTGATCTGTCCTGTGATGAATGGATTTGTATTAACAGAGTGTGAAATTAATATCCAGTAAATCAGTCATAAAACCTTAAAGCCATTTTCTCAGCTCGTGTTGGTGTATCGAGTTTTGCAGAGTAGAAAGACGTTTAAAGGAAATATTTCAGTGTTTAAAAATTGATCTAATTGATCCTGATTGATTTCCTTCAGCTATTCAGTAGCAAAAGCTTATTCCAGTACTATGTGTACTACCAGTCAAAAGTTTTGAATAAGTAAGATTATTAAAAGTAAAAAATACTCGAGTAAAGTACATTGCCGTTCAAATGTTTTGGGTCGATAAGATTTAAAAAAAAAAAAAAAGAAAGTTTTTTAAAGTATGTAATGCTCACCAAGGCTGCATTTATTTGATAAAAAATACAGTAAAAACACAAGTATTGTGAAATATTATTATAGTTTAAAATAACAGTTTTCTTTTTTAATATATTTTGAAATGTAATTTATTCCTGTGATGCAAAGCTGAATTTTCAGCATCATTACTCCAGTCTTCAGTGTCACATGGTCCTCCAGAAATTCAAATTCTAATATGCTGATTTGCTGCTTAATTATTACCAATTATTATTGGTGCCCAATTATTAATAATGGTTCTTATTATCATCAATGTTGAAAACCATTTTTGGTGGTTAATATTTTTGTTCAAATAAACAAATTGGGGAAAAACATTTTAACAATGTTTTACTATTAAATGTATTAATCTTTTTCGATTAAATAAACACAGCCTTGGGGAGCAGAAGAGACTTCTTTCAAAAATGTTTAAAAAAAAATCGTAATTATTTCCAAACTTTTGACCGGTGTTATAAGCAGAGTTCTGATTTAAAAAAAAAAACACAGCATTCAATGGGTATTAAAATACTAGTATTTTTTCCTGTGGGATCTTATTCATTTCCCATTAGGATTCTTTTAAATTTGGTTCCAAATGATAAGAGAGATTCCAGAAGGAGTCCTGTGTACATTCCTTCAGGCTTTTGTGTAGGATGAGAGCTCTAAGATCCTGAATAATAGATCTGTGTGTGTATGTTTGAGTAAGTTTGCTATAGCCCTTGGGTTCTACAAACTTAATGGGCCTTGGCCAAACAGTGATGTAGCAGTTGATCGATACGGCACCGAGCTCGCTCTGTGTGTGTGTGTGTGTGTGTGTGAGCGCAAGTTTGTGCTGCTGTTTTTCCTTTGTTGCTGGACTATGAGAATTGATATCCTACGGTAAAGTTGCTGGCTTAGATCCTGTCCCTGTTGATGTGTCTGGACTCAACTGAAATAAATGTTTTTCAGCTTTCACCTTAAGTAAGGTGACGTTGTGTCAGAGCTGAGGAACAATGCCCGTCACAGATCTGAGAGCAGACGCTGGATGGCGCTCTCAGCCGCGTCAGACTCCTCACATGACATCTGAGGACATGAGCTGCTCAGACAGGAACAAAAGCACACGGCCCCTTTTGGACTGACCTCGGATCAGACGTTTTCCATTATTCATCGGATCGGGTGGAACTGTAAAATTAAATTAGATGGTGTTGCAGATTATTCAGTCAAGTGGATCTTCGTGTCTTTTTAAACATTCCACCCACTCACAAAATCTTGCACTTACATACGTGAGTCTGTCCGGTGTTTTCAGCCCTTTTGTTCTCACATTTTGTCTTTCTTCTCACCTTCTCCAGTAGGTGACAGCCTAGAGTAGAGGTGGGCGGTATGACTAAAACTAAAGTATGATTAATGTTAAATCACTAGAATGGTAAATATATCATTATTTTTTAGTTAAGAATGCAAAGAAAAATGGTTTATATTTGGGGAAAAAAAGTAGCAGTGAGAATTTTTGGATGATATAATTATTCTTTATATACAGTATATATATATATGGAGAGAGAGAGAGATTTGTAGTTCTTATATTTATACTTATATTTATATTCATTATATATATAATGACTTTGTCATAATGACTTTTAATCTCATAAGTATTAGTATGATTATATAGTAAAGTTTCGGTAAATTTGGATTTTATGTAATTAAATTATGGATTTTTTAGCTCACATCTCTTATTTTCAATTTCAAATTTTTGTCATAATTATGACTATGAATTATGTTGTAAAATGCTGTAGAAGTCAAATGTTTACTTTTTGTATGATAATTGTGACTTTTTGTCAGTTTCTACTTTTTTAATTTTAATTTTAAATATGTATACATTTATACATTTTTAATACTGTATAGTATGTTATGTTACTTTAATATATAACTATGTATCCGGAATTTATAACAGTAATAAACCATACTATACGGTATTAAAAATGTATAGTATTAAACATGTATACATTGTGTTTGCGTGTGCATGGGATATTACGTTTATAATATATTAGCTTAATATAAATATAACAACAGCCTTAAAAAATAAATACAATTTTCATGGTCTTGGCACATCAAACAACAAATCATTCATGCCCACTATATATAGATATGTCCACCGGTTGACACATGTCTTCCGTCACATGATATATATACCATCCTGTCGCCCGGCCTGGAACGATTTTAGGGCCTTTGTTCTCACCCTTTGACCTCACCCTCACTCTTTCATGTCGAGACACTGGACAGTCGACTCTATGGCACGCTGATGTCAAAGCGAATTATCTGAACTTTAATGGGTGGAGAGACAGTTGCACTTTTAATCATTAGAAGCAGATGGCCTGGGCAAACCCGTGCACTTTTGTTTTGATAGAGGGGCCATGGATCGCGTGTAGACGCTTGCAGGCTGCATGTAGTGTTTCTTCGGCTGCAAGAGCTCCTGTGTAGCATTAGACTGCAGATAATAAAATCCATGTTTGCGTAGAGCAGGAAGAGACGTGACTGTCAGAACTCACACGCAAGAAACACTGTTGTAAAGCCAGTTGCTGTCTTGGCAGTATTGAGATGGGAAACTGTAAGCAGGTTAAACTTTATAAGTCAAGATGAAGTGCTGTTTTCAGTTTGCTTTTGCAATGTGGTGTGTTACATAGCGTAACAGAATATTCAATGGAAAACTTTTCGCTTTTAGGAAATTATTGGATCGTGAAAAATTGGCTTGGCTGAAAAGACAGGTGGTTGGAGATATACTGTATGAATGTGTGTATATTTATATATATATGTATTAGTGTTGTCAAATGATTAATCGCGATTAATTGCATCCCAAAAAGTTTTTGTTTACATAATATATATATGTGTACTGTGTTATGTATATATAAATACACATGCATGTATATATTTCAGAGAAATATGTTATTTTTATGTATTAAATGTATTTATTTATAATATAAATTAAATAAATATAAATATAGTCATGTAAATTCATGTAAATATTTTCAAAATATATACTGTATGTGTGTGTATTTATATATACATAATAAATATACACAGAACACACACATATATTATGCAAACATCATATCGTTTGACAGCACTAATATATATATATATTTGGATTTGGTAGTATTTTTTAATGCTCACTAGGGTTGGGTATCGAAAACCGGTTCCATTTTAGAACCGGTTCCAAATTTCCAAGAACCGGGTACTCGATAAGACGCGTACATTTAGATTCTACTTAACGATTCCTGCATTCACATTTTAATGTGATTTAAAATGATTTAAGTGCAGGAACGGAAAGAACTTGCGCCCTGTTTGCGTGCAGCGAGTACAGAGAACAGAGGTACGGGTTCCCAGTTTGTGTCCATTCTCGAACCGTTCCGTGTATTTCCACTGTAGAAAAGATTGTTCCAGGCCGAAACTGACTTCTTTCATATTTGTCAACCAATATGCAGAAAACTACGTCAGTATATCATCATAAACACAGCCGTTTTGGTCTTATGTGAACATAAACAGATGAGAAAGAAAACACACATGTACAGTATTTTTAGAGCTGCGTGCGTTCGGTGTTAAAGAGACAGCAGCCTAATAAACGCGCTGCCTGTCATTAATGTTAATCAAAGAACAAAAGAAAATCAGTCACTGATCTTGACTGAATATATTTAATAACTTTAATTGATTAATCTATATTTTATTTATGAAAAGAAAACTATGCAGTGTTTTTAAACTTTTAATTACAGTTTCTGTACCTGAACTTTTGTTCAGTTGTATTTATTTATGATATTGCTAATTGATTTGTTTGTTCCTATCTTATTACTGACTGTTTACTTGTCTTTAACACTTTAATATTTTGAATTTATATTAATCTAGTTGTTTTTGTTGTGGTATTTTTTTAAAGCATAGGCAAAATTCCTCTTGCAGTGTTCTGTGGGCTGCTGATTTTTGCTCGTGTTATTCAGCTGCAACAGAATGCTTTGTAAAAACACAGAATAAATGTTTGACATCTAAATGTTTGACTTAATTTTTTTATATTGGATTTTTTTATCTTATTGGAATTGAAACTAGGAATCGATAAGAATTGGAATAGAAATCGATAAAATTCAAACGATACCCAACCCTAATGCTCACCAAGACTGCATATATTTGATGAAAAATACAATAAAACAAGAATATTGTAGACTTTAATCTTCACGGTAACTTTTGATCAGTTTAATGCATCCCTACTGTAAAAAATATTCTTACTGGCGCCAAATGTATGCATTCCCTTATTTGACAGGATAGTGGAGATGTGACAGGAAAGTACAGGGAGAGACGGGATTAATGTACAGAAATGAATAAATCCAAGGATCAAACGTAGTAAATTGATAAATCAGTATTTGCTTAAACAGAGTCAGTTTGGATTCTTTGCTTACTTTAAATGAGTCATGAGTCATGGGAGCAGGGTTTACTTGGTCTTTTTAAATTAAAAGAAGATCTGACTTCTGTCCATATTCTCCAGTGCATTGAACTCTACTGAGCGAAGCTTCAAGTTAGTGTTAATGCTGACTATGTTGTACGCAGGTCAAGTGTGGTAACACCATGCTCAAAGATCAGAGTATTTCAACTTTGACCCCGTCTGACTCTGACCTCTCGAAGTGAAAATCCGGTGTGAAAATCAAAGCAGAATCGAAGAGAAACTGTATAAATTTGTACTGTGACAAATCTATATCATGACATTCAGATCATAATCACAATTCACAAGTTGAACATTTTTATCTCAGTTTCGTCACTTTCAACTTTTGTCATAATTATAACTTTTTAATCTTGCAATTTGACATGTTATTCAAAAATTTTGTATCATGATTTTTTATGCCTTAATTATATTATAATTTTGACTTTTTAATCTCATATCTGCTTTTTGTCTTAATTTCAACTAATAATGGACTTTTTATGACTTTTTATTCTAAAATGTTTACTTTGTGTCATAATTTTGACTTTGCCATAATGACTTTTAATCTCATAAGTATTAGTATGATCATATCTGATCAAGGGGGAAGTCGTGGCCTAATGGTTAGAGAGTCGGACTCATAACCCAAAAGGTTGTGGGTTCGAGTCTCGTACCGGCAGGGATTGCAGGTGGGGGGAGTGAATGTACAGCGCTCTCTTCCACCTTCAATACCACGACTGAGGTGCCCTTGAGCAAGGCACCGAACCCCCAACTGCTCCCCGGGCACCGCAGCATAAATGGCTGCCCACTGCTCCGGGTGTGTGTTCACGGTTTGTGTGTGTTCACTGCTGTGTGTGTGTGCACTTTGGATGGGTAAATGCAGAGCACTAATTCCGAGTATGGGTCACCATACTTGGCCACATGTCACTTCACTTTTTTTTTTTTATATAGTATAGTTTTGGTACATTTGGATTTTATGTGATAATTATGGATTTTTATCTCACATCTTTGACTTTTAAATTTTTTTATCTCATAATTGTGATATTTTTTCAATTTCAAATTTGTGTCATAATTATGATTATGAATTATGTTGTAAAATGCTGTAAAAGTAAAATGTTTACTTTTTGTATGATAATTGTGACTTTTTGTCAGTTTCTACTTTTTTATTTTTTCTGAATTTTTATCTCATAATATCTACTTTTATGGCACAAGTACAACTTTTGTTATTATTATTAATATGCCCTTTAATCAAAGATGTTTACTTTTTATGTCATAATTGTGAATTTTTTCCCCGCATATTTTCTACTTTTTATCTCATTAATTTTTGGTCCTAATTTAGAATTTTTATGTCATAATTATGACTTTTTCCCCGCATATTTTCTACTTATTATCTCATGAATATTTGGTCCTAATTTAGACTTTTTATGTTATGATGACTTTTTTCTCATATTTTTTACTTTTTATCTCATGATTTTTTTTGTCCTAGTTGAGACTTTTTATGTCATTATCATAACTTTTTATGTCATTATTTGGCCCACTCTGATGAACGACAGTGTGTTATGAACTATGCTGTTAGGGCTGGGTAAAAAATATCGATATCTCGATATTAATCGATTCTCATTTTTACGGAACAATATCGATTCTTAAATCCCAAGAATCGATTAGTCTAGTCTGTTTTCAGATAATGGACGGAATATTGAAGGGCACCTCCCATCCAATAAATCGTAATAAGCAATGTGCTTTGGTACTTTTAATATGAAACAAAGTCTCAGATTTCAAATTCTGTCCATTGTATTGCAGTATTTAAATAATAAATGCCGT